TTTGATATAGGCTCAAAGTACACCTTAAATAAAATATCAAAGTCGAAAGTAGGATCAAAATTTCGATTCAAGTATATCTCAAATTAAAATTTTAGCTCTATTTTAGACCTAAACGTTTACGTGTTTGTAACATTTTTATGTTCTAAAGGATAAGTATATATTATACATAAGAACTGAAATCTCATTCAGCGCCTTTGAATGGCAGAAAACGTACAAAATGTCACTTGTCAACTCGCAGAAGAGCCTTTCGGCAAAGCTGGTTTAAAAGATTTAAAAAAATTGAAAAATATAGATTTCAAAGTATCAAAGTAGGCGTTGAATAAAAGTTTAGGGTTGGAAGGATTAAAATTTCGATTCGGTATCTCACAAATGCCGAAAGCTGTTCAACGCCCAGGATACGTCGTTTCGCGAGCAGACCGGTAACTGAAAGATTAATTAGTCGCGCTGATGCGAACGACGATACGACGGGGCGTGACTTCGCCCCGAGTTGTCGAAGTATTTTTCTGGATCGATGTAAAGACGGTGTATATTACGAGAGGTAATTTCGTGTGATTCATCCGGTGCTACATACGCACCGATAGATCTATGGGATGTCCGTATTGATCGAACCACACCCGTATTTCCTACACCCTCTACCCTCCTCCCTTCCTCCCTCCCACCGCCGCACGCACGCGGATGTCAACGTAAATGCGTGCGCACAGAAATCGACGTAATCGCTTGTAACCGAGAAACTTGGAAATCGCGGGACGAATTTACTCGCAATTTCAAATCGCGCCTCCTCTCCCAAAATCCAATATTTCAAGATGAGTTATCGGTAAAATCGCGCGAACGGGAGTGTAAAATTAATAATAAGTCGACCTGCTGGAAATTTCTTCGACGTCACCGGCGGTGATCGTCGAACGGATTGCCAATAATGCAACGAGCGCGTCCGCACTTCAAATCTGGACCTGACGTTAATAGCTGATGCAAGAGGCACTTGTACACTTTACGATTTTCCCGCGAACGCCATTACAGTCGTAACGTCATTGAAGCCGGTGCACTCGAGATAAACGCGACATGGGAAACCAAAGATGAAAAAGGGAAAATGAGGAAGGGAATTCGATAAAGCAACGTTGTTATCGTAAACACGATTAAACGGCTCTTCAAGTATTCGAAAACCCAACAAAAATGAGGGAAGGGGGAATCCCGAGAATGAAACTTGAGATTCCAAGAGCCCGAGAATCTGAAAAGCCACGGACTCAAAGACTGGTATCGCAGGACTTAAAAATCCAAGGACCCCAGGAACTCAAACTCGCGAGAATCCCGCTGGAGAATCGCGCGAGGGAAAATTCTCCCGCACCGCCCAGCCCCTCGCCCAGTAGCTTCGCGATTGTGTAACGTATGCAGGAGTTAAGTCCACATATACGCCTATGGTCTATGCATAAATAGACGCGCGGCGAACGGGTCGGCGAGATTTATGTGGGTGGATATAGAACGGCGCGGAAATTCCGGGCGTATTCGGGAACTTATGCGGCGAAAGCTCGCGCGTTTTCGCCGGGAGCGCGTTTAATGAAAGACACCATTGTATCTGTCCCGTCGAGAGTTTATCATGCTAATGAGGTCTTAATATCGCGTTATGGGAAACTTTGAACGGATACCATTCAACGGACGCGATACACACCGTGATCTCCGCGTTTCTCCCGTCCCGTTCTTTCTCCCGTGCTTTAAGGCGTTTCCACTTGCCTTTCATCGCGCACGCTTCCTTCTTTTTCTCTTTCTCTCTATCTCCCTCTCTCTCACTCCTACCGCTTCCAATTTCTTACAGAGACGCCTTGGAAAGAGGGCTACTCGCGAGACATAAAAAGAGGCTACGCAATAACGGGTGAACTGGTGAAACAATACCGTATTTATTCGTCCTCGTTGCTCGTCGAAGGAGAAAAAAAAAAGAAAAGAAGAAAGTAAGAAGAAGCGATCGAATAAACGAGAGGACGCACGTTATCCCGTGTTCTCGGACTCGCGTTTAAGTTACCCGAAGGATCGGGGCGGATTCTCTTCTCTTTTACGCACGGGGAGCCCCCCTCTCTCCTCCCTCTCCTCCCTTTTCACGTTCCCTCTCTTTTCCGTCCGCCCTTACGTTGTGTTGTGTCAAAGGTATCTATTATATACAGAATAAGGCGGTTCATTGGGACCGCTCCGGTTTCACGCTACCAGTTTCTCCGCCGACACGAACGTAAGAATTGTTTTATTCAGGAGCAATCGTCCGGTTTCCTCCAGCGAGCGTACACTCTGCGCGAGCAATCAAGAGAAGAAACATACGCGAAAGAAGCATCCCGGGAAAGCGAGCGCGATCATCTCTCGTGCAAGTGAATCTTGGAGCGAGCACGGAGCCGAGAGGTCGATTTCCCGACGACGCGACGAATTGAACTTCCACGGAAGCTTCTCTTTCCCCTCCCTTCCCTGCCCCGCCGCGGTCCAATTCATTATCGAACATATCTCGAAGAGGAATTTACTTACCTTCGGTGAGTAACGCCTAGCTCGAAAGTCGTCTCTACGATAAGATCAAGTGAGAAAACGTAGCGACGAGTCGTACGGTGACTTAAAAAAGGGGAACGTTTCGTGTCGTTTAGGCGCTCCAGTGCGCGGCGATATACGCGCTTTTAATACCGTTCCCACTTTCGAGCGCGACATCTTAAATTCGACGTTTCCTGCGACGGATAACCCTTTCGCCACAAAGAGCGAGCATATGTGTACACTCGAGTGGAGCTCACGCTCACATGCGTAAACGCGCGCTCGACTAAAATGGAGAGAGCTTCGGGGCCCCGCCAACGGCAAAGACAAATTCGGCGCGGGAACGCTCTGATGAGCGCTGTTGTTTATGCAATTATAACAAAAGCCACGCGGCGAACGTCATCGTAAATTGAACACGCTTTCTTTGCCTGCGTCGCGCGAGTATCTGCACGCGTTCGCAAATTATGATTCAAATTAGAAATTTGCGCTTCATTAAGCGGGCCTCTCTCCTTTCTCTGTTTCTCTCAGTTCTCGTGGAGAAACCTCCGCCCGAACTTCGTCGCGACGAAGACTGTTAACCCCGGCGTTTGAGAATTTGTTGCTAACTCGTACACGTACACACATAAATGCATACATATGCGCGCGCGCGCGCGCACAGTAACCGTCGAAATGACGACTGAAACGACACTTTATTTAGCCGTGTCTGTCCCGCGGAACGCGTGTGCGCGCGGCTTAACGAACGTCTGCAGCGGGGCAGACAAATTTATTCGTGCCGGCATTGGCAGCGTGATATCTTTCTATGGGGGCTATTTTCTCATCAATCCCAATAGCTTTTATAAAACGTGACTCACGCGTGAAAAGGTCCGCGCGCCTTTAGCGAATCCGACGCTCGCAATGTGCCCCGTGTGTCGTCTCATGTGCGCGAGACCATCGTCTCTGCCGGCTATGTCGAGATAGAGCTCTCTCTCTCTCTCTCTCTCTCTCTCTCTCTATCTCTCTCTCTCTCTCTTGCTCAGGATGCACACGGCGCAAACGATTCGTGAAAGTCGTGATATTCCTTTTTCTCTACTCTCGCGTTATGTTCCTGGTTTTTTTGTTGCGTCGCGACGCGCTCTTAATAAATAGCTGGTCAAGAGCGTCATGATTTATGAACCGGCGGCGACGCCCGAGTTTCGGAAATTGATTAATCGATTACTGATTTGAGAAAAAGAGAGAGAAAGAGTCAGGTACATATACGAGCGCAAGCAAGAGACGGGACGCAGAAGGACGTTAAAAGGCAGGGCGAAATTGCGAATTCCGCGGGAGCGTAAAAAACGGCCGTTAACGAATCGCTATCGACGCGATTGTTTTGCACTGCGAGATCCAATGACACGAGTGTATCTCGCGAGCGATTACTAAGCGTCGCCAACTTTTTTAATCGCCAACTTTTCCGACTGTTTATCGTCGCGAGTGATTAACAGCGGTGCTCGCCGCTCGGCATTCGCGATGAGAACAGAGAGAAACGATCTTGGCGTGTTCGCGCTACTAAAGTTTCCTTTCAATCGCGCAACAATTTCGAACCGACGAGGCGACGACGTAGATCGACTAAACGCATTCATTTTCCTTCATTCGGTTAATTAGTCGGTGCCTGCTGCCACGCCACCCGCATACCCCCGCGAGGAATTCGACAGTTGTCGCGGTGGGAAAGCAGAAAGCCGAACATTTTCGAGGATTAACGTTGATAGAGCCCGACAATGGAACGGAAGTCGTCTCATTCTCCCGATGCTGATCGTCTCGGCGCTCCGCGATATAAAGCAACGCGTGTGTACCAAAATGTGCATCACGGAGGAGGGCTAACCGCGACGTGCCGCACCCTGCACGTATTTCCGTTGAGAGAGAAGGGTCCGAAGGTCGATATACCCGCCGCTCGTTTAACTCCGAATACGACTCTGCGGTCCCGAGTTTTATTTACACGCCACGGACAAAAGCGCGATAAGAACATGAGTATCGATACGAGAGAATGGATATCGGTGTGGAGAACGTAAAAATAAATAAAATTTCACGTACTTTCGTGCGCACATCTGACGACATGGCCAGTTTCTCGTATCCTTTTCTTTCAATTGTACAAATCATAAGTATTACGAGAAGGTCACCGCGGAATGACACATTTTAAATGGAAAACATAGCTTGTTGCTGTTATGCCCGTTTCCATCGACGATTAAACCTTAATCTAAGTTTAAGCTCTGTTCAGATAAATGGCCATTATTCTTATTGGACATTCAATGAAATCTTAAATGGAATTTAAGTCTTTGTCTAAATAGAGTTTAAATACTGACTAAGGTTCGGTCGACGTTGGTAGAGACAGAACAAAGACATACAAAAATGTTCAGGCTTAAAAACAGGCCGGTAAAAACAGGAAAGTATCTCGCTAGCATTGAACGCACATATAACGTGGATCTTTCAGCTTTCGGGGCGGCTTGCTTGTAGCAAGTCGACGCGAAAGAAGGAGCCTGAATATACAAATAATTACTCACCAGGCTTTGACGCGTATGAGGACCTCTCCCTCACCAAGGGTGGGTTCCGGCTTCCTCAGGGCCTTGACACTTTTCAGACCGCCGAAACCGTTGAGCACGATCGCTCGCATGTCCTTCGGCTCCGGCGTGGGCTTCTCCTCGCCGTTCTCCTTTGGCTTCTCGCCGTCGCCATTCTCCTCGACCTTCTTCTCGTCCTCCTTACACTCCTTCGTCGGCTCTTCCTTGTCCGGCTTAGCCGGCGGCGGCGTCGCCGCTGTCGTTTCCTGTGGCGGCTTCTCGCCCTCGGCGCTCGGGCTGGTCTCGTTCTTGTCCTCTGCCATCTTTACGCCGTCCTCCTCTCAGGCGCTCTGAAACTCTCGCCGAGCTTTCGCGACGTCCTTTGCCGCGGGACTGAAGAGGTAGCCCGGATGCCGCGCGGCGGGGATACGTCAAGAAAGGGAGCGTTTACCGTCTGCGTTCGCGGAGCGACCGACGGACGAAACGGAGAGAGAGATAGATACAGAGAAGGAGAAAAGAGAGAAAGAGAAGACAGAAGACAGAGAGAGAGAGAGAGAAAGGAGGGGGAGAAAGTGCCCGTGTGAGTAATCTCTCTCGGCTTCGCACGGTATGTAGTTTACGATCGCAGCGTACGCACTCCACGGAAGCCGCCGTCGTTCTGCTCCGAGATTCTGCGCCACTGTGCCGAGAGAGCCGCTGCTCCGCTCCGCTTGTGCCGGCCGGCCGGTAACGCGCGCGCGGTGTTGCCGTTGCTTAGCAACCGCGCGCCCCTGCCGTTCGGCCAATCGCGCGAATTCCCCGCCGTCATTTGCCACGTTCGCGTCGCACCGTGTCGGGACGCGCGCGCAGCCCGGCAGGTGCCGCGCCGGAGGGTCGCGCCACGTCGATTCTTCGCCCCGGCGAAGTAGTCCTCCCGTCTAGTCCTATCTCCGTTACCCCACCCGCGTCCCACAGATATCTCGCGTACTATAACCTAAAAATTTGAAAATACCGACTCTCTCTCTCCTTCCCTTTCTCTTTCTCTCTCTCTCTCTTTCTCTCTGCCTCCGCACTTCGAGCCGGACTATCGATCCCCGGCGCGATGGATGTACGCTCGATGCCGCGCGCTCGCTGTAATTACAAATTGCACCGAGCGATATTGCGAGGCGCCGTCCGATCTTGATGACGCGACCATGCAATTGTTCCTATGAATAATCGAAGGAAAGGGGAGAACGTAATGCACGTAGGGTTCCACCGGTCGACATGCTCGTCTCGTGGACAGAAGTCTCCTTCTCGTCTCGAGCGAATCGTACGGGCTCCTCCTTAATGAGTTTTTACAGCGGCTGACTCAGCGGACCGCAGTCTATATTGCAATTTTGGGCGTGACGCCGCGCAGCCACCGTGAGTCCTCGCTTTTCTCGGAGACGTTCGGGGATGTGGAAAGCGCGGCGGAGGCCAACACAAATTAAGATAATGCGCACGATAAGGCTGGCTATCTATTACAAGGTGCTATTCACTCATAGGCCTGGAATTTTCGACAGGGTTGAAAGCTGATATAACGGCGCTGTAAAGCAACAATGGAGTCGGAGGAGTACGCCTTTATCGTTCGTGAATCATTGCGACGCGAATGCGACAAGAGGAATCTCCTATTTCCTCATCGGCGGCGAGATATCTTACGTTCCTCGAGACGATACACGCGAAACGCCACGCCAAAATCGCACGGGCAGTCGAGTTGGTTATTTTTCGTTCGTCGAGAGAGAAGTGAATGCGTAGAGAACGTCGATACCCGTCCTCCCTTCCGCACGTCGTCGCAACGTACGAACATTCGAGAACTACTTCAAGGAAAGGATATTCCTGATGCAATGTGTTTACAAGGCAAAATGACTCAGCCGCTTATATACACGTATATCTGAATATTTCGTATGAATCATTATGATTTCGCGTCGATATGACCAATGGTGATTACCGACTCGGGCGCGCTCGCTGAGCCGTCGCGCTGCTCCTTCTTCCATCGAGGAAGAGGAACGCAAGTCACCGGCGAAATGGGCGAATTCCTGCATCCACTCGTGCGACGAAACGGCGAATCGCCCGCTCGCTCGTTCGCCCCGTGCAATCCATTTGTCCGGCCTCGGCGTGCGCCTCCTCTCACGGCCCTGAAAATTCGCTCTCATCCTTCGTCCGCGCGGCGTCGTGTGTCTCTCCTCTCGGCGAGTGTGGCGGCCGTGAAAGTAGTGCCCCAGCAGACGACGCCCGAAACGCAACGCGTGTATCCCTACGCCCCACGCACGGCCGCAGCCGTTTGCGCGTGTGTGCGTGGGCGCTACGTGCACGTGCGCACACGTGCATCATGGCGTCCGCGTGCACATCCTGCGCCGTTCTGCTCGATTCGCGAAAAACACCAAGAGCCTTTCTCGGCCGAAACACTGCCGAAATCCTGCCGCTTTCGTTCTCCCCCTTCTCCCTTTCTCTCTCTCTCTCTTTTTCTCTATACGTCTTTTTCTTTCGAAACCGTCAGGTTACATCGCACTCTTCCCCTTCTTCCCTCCCATCGCCCTTCCTCCCCCCCCCGCGAATCGACTGCATTTTTTACAGGGCCGTTGTGTGCACGCCGGGCGTTTAAGCGACGGCGAAGGAGTCGAGAAATTATTCTGTCGCGGTCTGGCAACATTGTGCCTGCAACCGGCGCTCGCCGTACACGCTACATTGTGTCCTACAGTGGTAATGCAATTTTCGACGAACTTCGTTATAAGCCTGTTAGGGTCGATCTTCGACGCTTATCAGCGGCTTAATTCAGCGTAACAGCGCGAGTAACGCGATCGAAGTGGGTTAAAGGAGCCACGACGCGCGCGCGCACACAAGCACGCGCGTTTTATGGTCGTAATCGCGGCGCGAATCGACACACGGGCGTGTTTGGCCGCTCGAGCTGCTTGTCACGGCGAATTAACGCGTAGCCGCTCGTTTACGCGCGTTCATCGCGCGACAATGAGCGCGCCGCGGGGCGATCGCGCGGCTAAATTCGCGAAACAATTGGGCTGAGGTAATGAGAATCATGCACGGGCGCAATGAGGATGTGCTGATTGGCATGAATGGCTCATATTGTCGGGAGGGCGAAAAGCGCGCCCAGAGAGCTTTTCTATCGGGGTCTACCTACGGTCACGCGGCGCGGCGCGACATGTCGTTTTTCGTGCACACACACACGTACACATCTCGGAAATCTGGACTGTGTGAGGCTCCTGAATACTCCTGGGCCGCGGCCATGTTGGATTGTGACGTCACAAGCGAGAAATAGCATGCTGAAAATTCTTGCGTGCCATTCTCAATAAAAAGATATTTGTACGAGAGAACATTTCACCCAGTAAACATCGGCTATCAGTAACGTCACGTAACGTCAATGTTATAATTTCCAACTTAACGATATAAATACGATATAATCCGTGTTGTATATACAACAGTCACATCGCCAAGTGGGATATTATCACATTAACATAACGGTATTGTTAGTTGATGTTTACTGAGTAGATCGCTCGAGCATACTTGCGAAATGTTCCGAAAAAATTTTCCCTTAATAGTTGATAAGTAGCTGTAAAATGGACATGATAAAATCATGAGAAAAGTTAGGTTAGGGTTAGGTTAAAGAGTAACCCAGCAAACACAATAGGTTTGTTCAAGTTGCTTGTACTTTTCACACTTTTACACTTAATGCCCGTTGCACACTAGTGTACTCCAAACAACACAAATTTTCAAAAATATATTCTGAAGACGTTTTCAGGACGGAGGGACGTCATCAGAATATTCTTAGGACATCCTTTGAAAATGTGAATTGTCTGAAAATAGCTAATATCCAATAAGTTTATTCACATTAATTGAATTTTTTACACTTTCACACTTAGTGCACATTAATTCTTTAGAGGTTTTAAAAATAGCGTCATGTTTTCCGTTCATGTTACGAGTGTAAATGCAATTCTGATACACTTTTCACTTTAGCTTGGGATCAAGTGTAAAAAGTATATTAAAATTGCAATTACACTCGTAACACGAACGGAACTCATGACGTCATTTTTAGAACCTCTAAAGAATTAATGTGCACTCTCTAAAGAATTAAGTGTAAAAGTGTAAAAAGTTCAATTAATGCAAATAAACTTATTGGATATTAGCTATTTTCAGACAGCTCACATCTTCAAAGGACGTCCTAAAAATATTCTGATGACATCCCTCCGTCCTAAAAGCATCTTCAGAACGTATTTTGGAAAATTTATATTGTATGAGGTGCACTAGTGTGCAACGGGCATTAGGTGTAAAAGTGTGAATAGTACAAGCAACTCGACAAACCTAATGTTACATGTAACGTATATGTTAATTACAATTTCCTACTCAGCAATATAATTGTTATATAACATGCATGTTATATAACAGTTATATTGCTGAGTAGGAAATTGCAACTAACATATACGTACATACAATACTAACATGTACATTACATGTAACATTGTGTTTGGTGGGAAGTTTGTTCGTCACGTTGATTTCACAACTATGCTTAAACGATCAAAAGTCCTTTCACACTAATGTTTCGTTTGAAAATGGCATGTAAGAATTTTGGACATGCGTTTCTTCGCCCCTGACGTCATCAGTCAAGAGTTTCACGGTGAGTACCCGCGAGCATCAATTCCTTGACGCGAGGGGAAATCGAAACCGAGAGTCTCACGCACGAGACGTCGCCCGCGATCCCAGGAAGTTACACGACCTGTCCCTTCCTGCGCCGAATCCCGTCCCTCGTGCAAGTCCACCGTGTGCCCTATATAATTCAGCACGCGCTAGAAGCCTCCTATAATTTGCCGCGAAATTAGCGTGCATATGGAACACGTTGCGAGCGGCGTATACCAGTCGTCAACGTTAATTGATCTTACGGCGAATTCGACGGCCACGCGGCCATTTTTGCAGGAACGTGAACAATAAGCGGCATAGCTTGTATTAAAACGCCGCTTGTTGTCGCGTTCGTATACGACTCGTATTGTCGTACGTACGCTTAATAACGAGCGTGTACAGCAATAACGCGGCGCGAAATGGTGTGAAACGTAAGCGCGTGTACTTGGCGACGTCCACGATGTCGTTGTCACCTGCCACGGGTGGGTGGCGCCGTCAGTTCGCGCATGGTAGTCGCGATTCGCATTGCAAATCTAATACTACAGTTCTAAAGAAAATCGTAAAACTCATAACTTGTTCTCGTAAGAACTTATGAGTAGATCTGCAATTCTATGCGGACCATGTGTCATACGATAACTCCTAAATATCTACGATTTCTCGTAAACCTTACGATTAACTAGAAGTTGTCAATAAAGTTACGGTTTGTGAATTTTACCAACATTACGATTGATTCGTAAGCTACGACTTTACGATTTTATGATTTACTCGTATATTTGCTTAGAATTGCAGCATAAATGTGTTAATCTGATTATTTTAGCTGATTTTCTTTTTAAATGTTTTTTTACTGTTTTAAGTCACGCCGTTTAACATGCCGTTTAAACGTATTAAATTATAATTTACACACCTTAAACGTGTTAAATGACATGACTTAACAAACGGTAGAAAACGTGTAAAAAGAGCTTCAGTCAAATTGCACATTCATGCTATTAAAAATAATACTTGGATTTGCAGCGCGCGATTACTCGCACTAACCTTATCTCGCAACAATCTTAAGATCTATCCAGACTAACTTCCATAATCACACAATACGTGTATATAAGGAAATCAAACAATCGTAATCCTTGCTTTAAAAGGATGTCCTTTATATTAGATATTTGATTGATGATCGTTTTTCTTGTTCTTATGTTTTGTTTCTTACTTTTTTTATGTTATGTTATGTTATATTATATTATGTTATGTTTATTCATACGCATGATGCATCTGTGGAAGTTTACCTGAATAGACTTTTTCCAATAAATATCGACTGACAGTAACATTAATGTCATAATTTCTTATTCAACAATGTAAACTTAATATAACACATGTTGTACATATAACAGTCACGTTATGTGTGAATGTGTGTGTGTTGAATGAGAAATTATAATATTGATGTGATGATTCTATTAATTTACTGGGTTATAATCGATTCGATTTCGTAACTTGACGGCGAGTTTCAGCGAGAAATAGTCACTAACAGCGAGAAACAAGACACCTCGCTTTCTCTATCCCACTTATATGTTTCTTAAAATATATATAGTCTTGAGAAATGAAAATGATATAATTTATTTCGCTCCAGTTCGACACAAACGCGCACGAAATTTGGAAACGCGATGCAAAGCGCACGTTTTTTTGACTCGGTTTCTCCCGAGTTCTCCCGAGCTGCGGGGTTACACGGGTACGCGATGTATGTTACGTTGGTCAGTATTCACGCAAGTGGATGGGTGAATCGCGCAATTAATGGACGAGATAACGACGATAGCGGTGGCTACAGCGATGGCGGCGGCTGTTCTATTCTGTGAAACGTCTTATCGTTTTTAGAGAGAGCCTTTTATTATATATCGGCCTCAATAATAACACGTCGCGATTGTTGGCGCGATACATCCGCGGCAAACAGTGTCTTATCAGCGCCTCTTATCGTTCATCGATATGCAAAAGTGCGACCCTTGAACTGCACTGTTTCTGGAAATCAAGGAAGTATACCTCTCGTCGGTGAGACGACACGAATGCACCGCATCGCATCGCGTCGATTCGGACATACGATTGGGGAGTTTCGGCTGATGGAATCGTTCGAAATCGCCGCCGGAGGAACCGGCACTCTTAGGTCGAAGCAGGAAACGCGACGAGCGGTTCCCACGCGTGCTAATTCGCTTATTGCGAGTTCGCCAGCCCGACGGCAGGTTATGTCATTCGCTGATGCGCTCCAGATTTGAAATCCGCGTTGCATCCGGTCTGATTAACGCTTCGGACGGGCCATCCCGGGTTGCCAGTAGCCATTAGTTAATCCAGTCTGCCGGTACGACAGACTCGCCGTGCCGGACGAATAAAGCTCGTGCTAACGAATAAACTGCGTCTCCTGCCTGCTTGCTCCTTCATCCTGTTCCTTCCTTCCTTCCTTCAAATTTCGAGTGCGTGCACACGTATATAATCGATACCTCCTACAATTTCATGGTCTTCGAATCGAGAGTCAGCGTCAAATATATACTTATAAATATACTCGCCGCGTCAAAATATTTGCTTATTGTGAAACAGAACTTAATTACTCAACAGCCGCGAGTGTCCTCATAACTACAGATAAAATCGAACGATAAATAATGTGTCATACAAATTCTATGAAACGAATTAATACACGGAAGAATTTTATAGTAAAAATTACGATAGAATTTTGTGACCGAGGAATAAATCGATATTCTATAGTAATTCTCTGTTTTTATTTCATATGTGCTACTTATATTTTACAAACTGAAATGTGTTATTAATCCTTTGAGTAGTACAGAGAAACGCGGCGTTCCGTATAACTAATGTTTATTCGATCGCTCCTATTTTATATGTCCGACGTTGTTCGCTGATTAAATATATATATATATATATATATATATATATATATATATATATATATATA